TTTTATAAACTTTGGTCTGAGACCTGTTGGAATTTTGGAAAACTGTTTTTTGGGGTTTGTCTTTTATCCCTTGTCCTTAATTTATGTATGTGCATATTTCTTATCTCTATATCTTACTGCTATACACTAGGAACATTTTATAGTCCAAACTTTTTTTAACTTGTATAATCTTTGACATGTTCTAATTCAGATGGACTACAGAGTATTTGTACATCATAGGGTGTGTCTACACAGCACCCTAAACTCGAAATAAGATACGCAATTTGTATATCTTATTTCAAAACTATTTTGAAATAGCTTATTTGAAAAATGGTGTATCTACAGAGGGCCAAATTTCAAAATAACACTATTTTGAGCTATACCGTATCCCTCATGCAACGAGGTTTACTGGCATGGTGAAATAGTGCTTCCGTTATTTAATTTTTTTTTCTAAATAATAGGCAGCTTGTGTAGAAGCGAGGGGTAGCTATTTCAGGATATGCCTCTGATATCCCGAAATAGCCTCATAGTGTAGACGTACCCTAAGAGAATGAACTTTATGATAAACGTAAGGAGTCTTTATAGTGATGGCTAAGTCACTGGGCCTAAAAAGCTTCTCATATTTTAAATTCCAATGGAGTAAATTATTTTTGAGCATATTATTCTCCTACGTTCTGCTCAAGCATCTGAAAGCGAAACAGATAATAAACAAAAATGAAATTTGTAATTATTTCTATTGTTCAAACTGAAAAAGAGGTGAAGAAACTCCAGGGTTTTGGAAAAGTAAATTTGATATGAAATGTATTTGTATTTGAATAATCTAGCATATAAATAGGGGCTGAAGGTTTGCTGCAGAAAGTCTCTTTTGATAGGCTATGTTGAAGATAGAGTTATGCTAGAGGTTTTATACGGATTTCTGGGGGTTTTCCTTTGGTTTATTGGTGTTTAAAATACCATTAAAGACATCCAGACTAGTAAACAGATGCCTTTTTATGTTGTCTTATAAATTGCAATACATAAAATATAATAAAATATTAGTAACTTAGATAAATACATTTTGTTTTCATTTACATGAATTTTAAGTTGATGGTGCCTCTTCAGTGAATGAGTGCTTTGAGAATGAAGCTTGTCATTAACACACATCATCAGCATTTTAATAATACATTGAGTTGGGGAAGAGAGGAAGTGTAAACTACTGAAGCTTGCAAAAACCAATCCCCTGAAGCTTTCATGTTTTATTTGAGCATATGTTTTGGAAGTGGTGGTGTTGACACTGCTGGCACTAATCTCCTCTTTATCTTGTTTTGATAAAAATGATATTTGAATTTTATTTTTGGCAAACTTTTATCAAACCCCAGAGGGGTTCTGTTGTAGCAACTACAGAGAAATGGCTCTAATAAACACATCATATGATACTCTTATATCTTGTGTTATAGCTACTGTTTGGCACACCCCAGGGATGGGAAATGTTCCTGAAGAAATCCAATGATCATGTGGTTAGTTCCTGGCAGGTGAAAATATGAAATAAAGTCCTGCAAATTTGGGGGGGGGGGCGGTTTCTTTTTGCAATCCTAGCTGTAAGAATTATTTCAACTGAATAAAAGAAACTGTTTATAGCTAGGAGTCTTAAAATATAAATATGTAAGTTTAGGATTTAAGTGGTTTCCTGCATTTTATGGGCCACTGCTATAATTTTTTTAATGAAACTAGATATGCACAACAATTCTTTCCATCCCATTTACATACATATATTTCTATAGGGAAATAACATGACAAAGTGGATAAAACATCAGACTGAGCTGTGGGGTCAGGATAAATAGGTTCTATTGCCTATTTATTAAGTTTTGCCATTTATTATATTACCTTGGCAAGTCACTAAAGGCCTTATCCTTCAAGTACTGTAGTGCATGACAAAAACCCTGTTGATTTTGCTGGTGCAGGATCAGGCTCTCAGTCCCTGATTCAGCAAAGCATTTAAGCATGGTAAGCACATGAATAGTTCCACTGAAGTGCATCCATGCTTTGCTGGATTAGCATCAAATTTTCAGACATAGCTTCTAATTTTGCATGTCTCAAGATGTACAGTTTAAGTATCTTTCTGTCTAGAGATTAGTGTGTGTATGTGAATATACACGCATATATATTTGTGTATCTCTGATGTACACAATTATTTTATTCCATTTTATTTTTGAAATATCCTATATAATTTCAACTGTTCCATCATTGTTGTAATGTTATAATTTCTCATCTGATATCTGTGTTTTTATAAATACAGGCAGTCCCCAGGTTACGTACAAGATAGGGACTATAGGCTTGTTCTTAAGTTGAATTTGTATGTAAGTCGGAACTAGCTCCAGATTCAGCTGCTGCCACTGAAACTGACCAGGGGCTGACTACAGGAAGCCGGAGGCAGAGTTGCTCTGCCCCCAGCTTCCTGGAATCAGCCTGATCAGTTTCAACAGCTGCTGAATCTGGAGCCTGGGACAGAACAGCTGGGGCGCTGCCCGGTAGGTTCCCACAGGACCAACCCGGCAGCACCCCAGCTGCTCTACCTGAGGCGTCCCGCAACAAAAGCCTGGTCTGCTGGATGGGGGGGGGCGCCCCCAGCAGACCAGGGAGACCCGAGCAAAGCTGCACAGGCGGAGGGACCCCGCTGCCTGGGCGGCTTTGCTCCTGTCCCCCTGGTCTGCTGGGGGGGTCCAGCAAAGACACTGGACCCCCCCCCAGCAGACCAGGGAGACCAGGAGAAGCTTTTCTCGCCCCGGAGGACACGGACAGTGACCCGCCGCCCGTGAGCTCCGGGGCGAGAAAAGCCCAGTTCGTAAGTGCAGATCTGACATAAGTCAGATCCGCGTAAGTCGGGGACTGCCTGTACATAGCAGCATACTGCTGATGCTCTCACAGTACCAGTCCATTAATCTCTGGGACCAGGGACAGCAAAGCAAAGCTGCTTTGCTGGACCCCCCAGCAGACCAGGGGGACAGGAGCAAAGCCGCCCAGGCGGCGGGGGTCCCGCTGCCTGGGCGGCTTTGCTCCTGGGCAAACAAGCAAAGCCGCCCAGGTGGCGGCTTTGCTCGGGTGTCCCTGGTCTGCTGGGGGGGGTCCAGCGGCTTTGCTGGACCTCCCCAGCAGACCAGGGAGACTGGGAGAAGCTTTTCTCAACCCGGAGGACACGGTCGGCGACCCGCCGCCCATGAGCTCCGGGGCGAGAAAAGCCCCGTTCGTAAGTGCGGATCCGACATAAGTCGGGGACTGCCTGTACAGCAGCTCTAAGGATAGCCAAAAAAAAGTTATATAGATCTTGCATATATATTTTTGACTCTCCTTCGTGCTGCTCCAATCATATTTCATGTTTTAGTAGTGTCACAACCAAAAAGCTGTGCTGTTTTAATGTGTGAACTTGTGTAGTTTTTGTATCAGATTGTGCTTAAAATAAATTTGTTGCTTCACTGGTATTAATCAGACTCTGCATAACTTCAGGAGTTCATCAGCATGCTAAAAATTGCAGGATCAAGGCCATAATTAACAATGGTGGTAAGAAACTTTAGAAAGTTGTTGGCACTTTCTATCTATCTATCTATCTATCTATCTATCTATCTATCTATCTATCTATCTATCTATCTATCTATCTATCGTGCTGCACCAGTAAAAACAGGATGGTTAGATCAGAACTATTCTTTTCAACAATTTACTTGCTTATCCATCTACCATCTAAACATTTACACCACATTCAGTTGTGAACACAGTATTGGTTGTTGTTTTTTAATCTGTATATCATCTGTAGAGACTATCCAAATTAAATATTAACCCAAACCACAAAATTCAGAACTCAATCTTTTGAGCACCCACTGCAGATTATTTAAATCTAAGTTTTTAGTTCAATTCATTACAAAATTATAAAGATTATAATTATAAAGATTACAAAATTCAAATCTGGATTTAGCTAATGCCTCACCTTCCGACATTTTGTGATGTCCTAATCTGGAGTTTGGTCAACCCTTTTTCCAATCAAAATAGAGACATATTGTTTATTTTCTATGTAAATGTCAAAAAACAGAGGGATTAAAAGTGCCCTAGCCTTTTGCTTCTACACTGTATTTGTGAACATGCTGCATAATGTTTTGTAGCAAATATCATGCAGCGTAAGAGGCCTTATGATTAGGGATAAGCTATGAAACAAAGTAGCCTAGTTTCAGAAATATGAAATAGCTATTCCTATGTTTCCTTTTCCCAAGAAACATGTACATTCTTCTTTTAGGATATGTCTACATTGCATGCTTTTTTCCAATAAACTATTCTGGAATAAATACTCTGAAATATCTTATTTTGAAATAGCACGTCTATACTACAGGGAAGCCTCAAAATTAGTCTGAGGCAGGCTTCCCTAATGTGGACATTCTATCTCGATTTAGAGCCCCAGGAGGCACTGGGGAGTAATTACTATGAATGGCCCTAGGGAGGAGCTATTTCGAAATAGCAGCAGGAGCTTCCACACTACTGCTATTATGAAATAACTATTTCGGAATAGGCGGCGTTCCTTGTGGCATGAGGTTTACAGAAGTCAGAATAAGCCATCTGTTATTTCAGATTTATTTTCCATGGTACAAAGCACTTGCACCCCACTTATTGAAATCAGTGGGAGCTGTGGATGTGAATACCATTGAAAATCAGGGGCCTGCATTTGCTCCCAATGAAGAAAAGGGCAAAATTCTCATCAGCTTCAGTGGCACAGGATAAATATTTGGTCACATATTCTGGTATGTTAATATGGATTTAGGTGCCTAACTTTAGGTTTTAAAATTGTTGAGCACCTGCAGCTTACATTAACATGAATGGGACCTGCAACTGCTTGGTACAAAAAATCAAGCCACCTTTAGGGAACCCATTTTTGACAATGCTGGTTTGTAATTATCTAGTGCAGAACTACATATCTGCCGAAGGCCTGTGTTACAGGTCCTTTAATATTTTACCACGCTGTAGAGTATTAAACTATTGAATCAGTTAGCATATAACTGTGGAACTATTGATTCCAATTCGTTTTACTTTCTATTCTTGTTATATTGTGCTTTTGTGCTGAAAGCTTTCAAGCAATCCATATTTCAGCAGAAAGAATGTGTATGTCTTCCTTTTCTTTGTAAAGATACAAGTGATTTAATCCTTCCTGTGGTCCTCTGTTTTCTACAGTCCAGCTGTGTCCAAGGTGGGCATGTTACTTCTCCTGCTCCTCCTGCTATGGTTCATACAGGAGCGTGGTGCTCAGGCGATCCTGTTCCTCCTCTTCCTTCTCATTTTCTTCACAGGCCACACATAAAGACAAGGGGCTCAGATGATCCTGCTGTCCATCTTGCTGTTTCATCTCCTTCTCATAGAGTGTATGCAGGAGATTTTGATCCTCCTGCTGTTTCCCCTTCTCACGGGGCATGCACAGGATCATGGTGTTTACAAGATCTTGCTTCTCCTGCTCTTCTTCTCGTGGCATATATGGGGACATGATCTTCTGTGGATCCTGCCCCTCCCTCAGTTCCCTCTCACTGTCACGTGACACACTCAGGGGCAAAATCTTCCGAGGATTCTGTCCATCCTGCTCTTTCCCCTCATCATAGGTCACAAACAGGAACAGGTTGCTTCGGTGATTCTGTGCCACCTGCTTATCCATCTCATAGAGTGCTCCTAAGCTTCTAGTACGTAAGTGGTCTTGTCTTACCTGCTGTTCTTCCTCAGAGATTCCAGGCAAGGACAATGTACTCAGCAGTCCTGGTCCCTTAACTTGTTGCTGCACACCGTATGGTGCACCTTGGTAGTATTCCCTGCAGGATGCATCCTCAGAAACAGAGCTTACATGGTCCTTTCCTACTTGCAGTTCCTTTTCATGGGTTACACCCAGGAACCAAGTGCTCAGGCATTCTGGTCCTACAGACTGCTGGTCCTTGGATGGTATAGCTTGACAGTCCTGCTCCTCTTTGTAGGCTGCACCCTCAGACTCAGAACTCATGTGGTCTTGTCCTTGGTTTTCCTGTTCATGTTCATAGGTTGCTCCCAGAGACAAGGTACTCACTTGTTCAAATCCCATATGCTGTTGCTCCTCCTTATATGGTATGCCTTGATAGTCCTGCTCCTCTGTATAGACTGCACTCTCAGACTCAGAGCTCATGTGGTCTTGTCCTTGGTTTTCCTGTTCATGGGTTACTCCCAGAGACAAGGTACTCACGTGTTCAAATTCTACGTGTTGTTGCTCTTTCTTGTCTGGTACACCTTGACAGTCCTGCTCCTCTTTGGAAGTTGCTCCCTCGGACTGAGAGCTCACATAGTCTTCTTCTTTGTCCTGTTCAAAGGTTACACCCTGGAATAAATTGTTCAGGTATTCTGGTCCTACAGGCCACTGTTCCTCCTTGGATGGTGGTACATCTTGACAATCTTGCTCCTCTTTGGAGGGTGCACCCTCAGACACAATGCTCACATGGTCTCCTTCTTTATTTTCCTGTTCAAAGGGTACACCCAGGAACCAGGTGTGCAAGTGTTCCAGACCTACAGGCTGCTGCTCCTCCTTGTATGGTACAACTTGACAGCTCTGCTCCTCTTTGGAGGGTGCACCCTCAGACACAATGCTCACATGGTCTCCTTCTTTATTTTCCTGTTCAAAGGGTACACCCAGGAAGCAGGTGTGCAAGTGTTCCAGACCTACAGGCTGCTGCTGCTCCTTGTATGGTACAGCTTGACAGCTCTGCTCCTCTTTGGAGGGTGCATCCTCAGACACAATGCTCACATGGTTTCCTTCTTTATTTTCCTTATCAAAAGTTACAACCAGGGATAAACTGTTCAGGTATTCTAGTCCTACCGGCCAGTGTTCCTTCTTGTGTGGGACATCTTGACAGTCTTGCTCCTCTTTGGAGGGTGTACCTTCAGACACAGTGCTCACATGGTCATCTTGTTTTTCCTTTTCAGAGGTTACATCTGGGGATAAATTGTTTGAATGTTTTGGTCCCATAAGCCGTTGCTCCTGCTTGTATGGCATACTTCGGTAGTCTTGCTTTTTGTGGGCGACACTTTTGTACTGACAGCTCACATGGCTCTGTCCTTCTTGTTTTTCCTTTTCATAGGTTGCTCCCAGAGACAATATATTCAAGTGTTCAGTCCCCATAAGCTGTTGCTTCTCCTTGTTTAGTACATTTTGATAGTCCTGCTCTTCATTGGTGGATGCTCCCTCAGACAAATCATTTATGTGGTCTTGTCCTCTTTGCCTTTCCCTTTCATACCATACACCCCAAGAGAAGTTGTTGGGGTGGTCCTGTCTGTCCTTTCTTTGCTGCTCCTCAAGGTGTGCCTGCCGGGACACTCCAACCAGGTGGTTTTGCTCATGCTTCTCTTCATTGTGGTGCACATCTAAGTGCACATCACTGGAGTTGTCTTCAGTCTCTATGCTGTATGGTTTAGCAGCCAGAGTTATAGCATCTCCATGGTCGTGCTCACCCAGGGACACAACGCTCCAGTGGTCTTGTTCCTTTCTCTGCTGCTCCTCCTTGCCAGACTTATTCAGGGGCATGACTTCAGTGTGGTCCTCGTCCTTGTTTCCCTGCTTTCTTTTCTTTTTCCCCCTCCTTTGCAAAGAGTTCGTTTCATTTCTGCAGAGATATGAGGGAGGGTGGGGATTAGGAATTGAAGATGGATGTCAACTGTGAATAGTTTTATCCCAGCATCCTCCTATATCCTAATGTTTTAACTGTAATCACCTCAAATTATCTGGCTAATTCCCATTCTCTCACCGTCTAAGCAGTAGATTCTATTTAGACAGTAAGGACTGTTTGCTTAAATCCCTTTTGCCACAATATTTGTGGGGCAACTATAGTCTTGTGACAGCATCTGCACTTACCTTCTCCGAAAGCAGCAAACACAGCAGAATGTGAAGTTCCTGAGAGAATTGCTGTCGTCCTGGAGACACTCACTTTCTGCCATATTAGCAGTTGCTACTGGTAATCATCACTAATGACACCATCCCCATTCATACTCCCAAACAGGGGAAAAAACCAAGTCTGGGGATTAAAAAAATAAAAAGTAAAAAAAATGATCTGCCATCTAGATCTTCAAAGCCTTAACAGCCCCACTTGAATCAGAAGGTTTCTGAAGACCCCTGACACCTGTTCAGAGCAGACTGGATTGCTAATCTGATAGCTAATTTGATCATTGTGACAACTATGAATACCTCTCTTGTTGGGTTTGTCTTTATGACCTCATCATGCTGGGAGCTGAATGAATGGCTACTTGGCAACCATGATACGACAAATATGGCAATCTCCTCCAATAGCACGGACAAACCTTACTTAAGGAAGTTAAATATTATTGAATTAAGTTTTTATATCTTTGTAGGCCAGGGACTGCATGTATCTCCATAGAAGGAAGAGAGACTACAACTAAAAATAGAGGTGGGGAAGGTTAGGTAACCAAATTCACTCATGTTAACAACTCCAGAGAACTACCATCCCTAGAGAGAGACTTGTATATACTCGTTCAAACTGGATTCTCCATGGATTGACAGACTCTTGGATAAATAACAGATTTTTGGATTAATAGCCTGAATTTAAACTGAGTCCAGGGCAATCTTTCTGAGCCAATAACCAGATAGGACCGACTGTCCCCATGAAGGACTAGGGCTTCTTTGAAGAGTTGGAAAGATTTGGCTCAGTCTGTGTTCTTATTCTGAGCAAAAGGACTGATGACTTGCTAACCACAATATACCTGCTGGGTGGGCTTTGAAGGACTGTTAGGACACATCTGCACAGCAGGGCTAAACTCAAAATAAGCTATGCAATTTGAGCTACGCTAATTGCGTAGCTTAAGTCGAAATAGCTTATTTCGACTTTTAGTGCTGTCTACACAGCAGTAACTTCAAAAATGAGCACTCTTCCCCCAACTTCCCTTACGCCTCATACAATGAGGGTTACAGGAGTCAGAATAAGAAGCCCGTTATTTCGAATTTATTTCAAAATAACGGGCTTGCCTGGTAGACGCACCCTACGTTATTTCAGAATAACTGACATTATTCTGAAATAACATTGCCCTTAGTGGGCACAGCCCTTGTTGAAGTCAGGGTGTGATCTCCGTTCTGAAATAACATTGCTGTGTAGACATAGCCTTAGTGGGCACAGCCTTTGTTGAAGTCCGGGTGTGATCTCCAGTAAGATTATTATCATGCATGTTGTTTCTTTTATTGGTATTAACATGTTTTTTTCTGTAATGCTTTAATCTTAAATATAAATGTGCTTGCTTAGAAGTCGCTGTGGGGTATTTTAGCTATAGACAATTACACTGTTTACCAGGCAAAAAGTGAAGCAGGCCAGCTTAGACTGCCTGACTTGAGGAGATCATAGTATAGCCTGGGAACTGTGCAGCCTGGAAATTCACCGTCAGGAGGCAGAGCAGGACATGTCTCCACTGAAGAGAGGTGAGAGCTGAGGTGACTGAAGCGTAGATCGGATGCCTTTGCTGGACCTTAGAGGTGCAATTGCTCTGAACTGTGACACATATGGAGACAGCGTGTGTGACTCTAACAATGTGAATTGCATGTGTCCCAAAAGCAGTGAAAGCAAGTATGTTAGAAGGGAAATGCCCAAAGATAAGTCACAGTAGTCTTTTGAGGAAAGGGATAGTGAAAAGAGAAAGAGGTGACAATCAGTTATGAATTACGAGGAGAAATTGGTTGAGAGAGACAGCTCAACACTGAGTATTGGATAAAAATACAACAAGTAAATTTGCTATGTTCTGGTGACCAGAAGAGGAATAATGGTCCAGTTCCTCAGGGAATTTCTGGTCCATTGGCAGAGGATCTACCAGGTGAGGAAAATCTTGGAACCAGCCCCTGAAGAGGCTGAGAAACAGTAACCATGTGCTGACCAGATCAAGTCCCCCACTATAACAGTAGGTGTGGACAGACACAGGCCTTAACTTCCTTAGTTCATGGGGAGTGCTCCATACCTTTTCTGTCCCAGACTCCACCCCCACTACACCCTGTGCCCCAACCCCCATCCTGCTCTACCCTCACCCACCTCTTCCCACCCCTTTCCATTCCTTGCCCCCACCTTCTCTTTACCCTCGCTCTTCCCCCTTCTCCCTATGCGCCACCTTCATGCCACTGAACATCTGGCCCAGCAGATAGTAGGGGGAAGAGCTGATTGGCAGGGCTGCCAATGAGTGCTGAGCATGTATTTGTTTTCCTCTGGGTGTTCCAACCTCAGAGCACCCACAGAGCTGGCATCTATATGGACAGATTAGCAATTACAGCAGAGAAACTGCTGCTGGAAAGGAAGCAAGTGTGTCCAGAAGCCCATCAGTTTGAAGACCAAACGCAAGAGAGAGCACAATACGAAGAGCTGCACTGGTATGAGTGAGAAGAAAATCAGAAGCAGCTGCTTCATCAGGGAGAGAGAAGGACAGGGAATATTAACACCAGCCTGGGATGGGAGGGTGCATCTTCAAAGTCCTAATCCAGTCAATGAAGCAAAATCCCATATACCTGTCCTGGGAGGTAGCAGAGGGCGAGCAGACTCCAAATTGCTCAAATTCTGCATTATGTAAGAACATGGGGAATTGGTTGGGGAAATTAAAATGGTTAAAGCGACCTATGAATGAGTGAGTTCTGTGACGTCTGCCTCCCCAACCTGAAATCTTGGTTCATAGACAAAAACTATAGAGATGTTGCTGGGAAATTGTCAGGTGAATACGTGGATTGTTATCCTCGGTTCAAGCAGAAAACCTAATATGGATGGAATGAGGACAGGGACCAGGCCCAAGCTGAGACCCACTCTCAGAGGTGAGGGAAATCACCTAAGAGCAGCTCAAGGATGGGTAAGGAAAAGCAAGGTGGCCAGCAGGGTCACTATGCCTGTGAATGCCCATGTCACCCACGGAGAATCAGTGCAGCAATGGGAAGACCAGCTGCACGACAACTTCAAAGTTACCTTCTGTGGCTGAATCTCTAGAGGGAGGGAGTCACAGAGAACGTTTGCTGATGTCATAGAATGGTCAGGCTGAACCATCTACATGTCATGCTTCCAGAGAACGTTTGCTGATGTCATAGAATGGTCAGGCTGAACCATTCACACCCTAAGCCACCATCTACGTGTCATGCTTTACTCTCCTGGGTGCAGATCCATCCGATTGGCAGTGGGAGAGGAAGGTGATACTTAATAGGGGGATACTGGGACTGCTAAAACTATATTAAGCTCCATCTCTCCAAACTCCATCTAATGCTCCCTGGCTGTGAGATGTGGATTAAAGTTCCACGGGTAAAAGTCTTCACTCTACCTACCACACAGATTTCTATACCCCAGGCAGGTGTCAGATCCTGGTAGGAGGAATATTGTCAGATATTTTATATTTTTTGCATTTGCAGAATGACATTATGGCTTTGAAAGCAGAAGGGGGTAAATCAAGTCCCCTCAGTTCCAGCCAGAGCGGAATCTGTGGGTGCATCTACACTGCAAGGCTTAATTCGAAATAAGCTACACAGATTGAGCTAGGTCAATTGCATATCTAATTTCGAAATAGGAAGCGTCTACACAGCACTTATTTTGAAACAGAGCACTCTTCCTCCAACTTCCCTTATTCCTCATACAATGAGGGTTACAGGAGTCAGAGTAAGAAGTCCTCCAGCTTGACAGTATTTTGACACTATTTCGAAATAACTGCCTGCTGTGTAGACGCGAACTAAGTTATTTCGGAATAGTGCTGGTTATTTCAAAATAGACATACCCTGTGTGAGCCAAAATGCAAATGGAATAGTTGGGGAGGCATCGCACTCCCCAACTATGTTCAAGAAAGAATTAAATTAGCTTCTCAGTGTATGCAAACAAATTCCCATGGGAAGGGGAGTGACAAGCAATGTTCCCTGTAAACTGTGCGCTTGTGTGTCCAGCCAGGAGAAATTCCAGTGTCGCCCACCTGATTAACAGAGCACCCACAGCTTGGGTTTTTTTGTTTGTTTGTTTGTTTGTTTGTTTCTACTGGTGGTATGCATTCACACATGCCTCGGTGCACATAAAAAACTACAGCCAGAAAGGAGTGGGAATTCCTTCCTGTGATTTCTGAGTGCTCTCTGTGATAATGCAGAAGACCCAGAACTGCATGAGAGAGGGGATTCTGCTCCCGTTGACCCTGGGGCTACGTCTACATTGTAGATAAGCCGGAGAAAAGCGCCAGTCTGGACGCGATTCTTGAAAGTAGGAATAAGAGATCCTCTGGAAAAGAGCTTATTTTCCAGAGGATCGCGTCCAGACTGGTGCTTTTCTCCAGCTTATCTACAAGCCGGAAAAAAGCGGCAGCCATGAAAATGCAAATCCCGCGGGGAATATTTAAATCCCCCGCGGATTTGCCTATTCCAAAGTGCTACATTAGCATCCCTATTACGGAATAGGGGCCAATGTAGACACAGCCAATGTGTTTGGAGCAAAAGGGATGGGAGATCAATATTTCTCTTCCCTCTCCCAGGAAAGCTGAGGGTAAGCCACTGAAGTCCCTGGATGCTGACCCCCAGGGGTGGTGAGAGCAGAGAAAGGATTTTCGCTATGGGAAAGGTTTGAGGAATCTCCCATGCCTGAGCCTATGCTGATAAAAATAGCTCATGGTTGAGAAATGCTTCACACACAGGCAGCCTTAACATATTTCTTCCTTTGTCCCAAGAGTTGCTGCTTGTGAAAGTTCTATGGGTACTGGGAAACTTCAACCCATTGATGATGCAGCTGACCACTTCAGAGACACCACACACACTCCCTAGAATGGAGGTGGGAATGGGAGGACCAGGAATCAAGTTTACACCAAAGATTTTGGGGGAGTAACAAGAATAAGAATGTGCGTGTGTCATGTCACAACACATTCTAAAGGGAGAATTTATGCAAGATGGCTGACAAATGGGTCTGTATGTATTTTTGAAGGGCATGTGCTGGCTTGCTACCAAAATGTTTATTAGGTGCATAGCTGAAATGAAAGGTGTATGTTTCATAATGGATTTCACATAGGGAATGGCTACACTACAGAGAAGATCAAAGCTGCCGCTGTCGATCTTCCAGGGTTCAAATTAGAGGGTGTAGTGAAGACATGCTAATTAAAACTGAAAGGGGCACTCCAGTCGATGCCGGTAGTCCTGCTTCAAGGTGTAAAGGAAGTTGAAGGAAAAGTGTTCTTTGTTCGACATCCT